GCCGCCCAACCCCCGCCTGGGGGCGGGGCCAGGGTCAGAGGGACACGCCCCCCCCCCGGGACACGCCCACCTGCCGCTCAAACTCCGCCTGGGGGCGGGGCCAGGGTCAGGGGGACACGCCCACCCACTGGGGACACGCCCACCTGTCACTCAAACTCCGCCTGGGGGCGGGGCCAGGGTCAGAGGGACACACCCACCCACTGGAACACGCCCACCTGTCACTCAAACTCTGCCCGGGGGCGGGGCCAGTGAGTGAGACACGCCCACTTATTGACACCCCCACCTGTCACTCAAACTCTGCCTGGGGGTGGGGCCATACTCAGGCCATGCCCACAGGGAGCCACACCCACAAACCACACGCCTGTTTGGCCACACCCATTAAGCCACACCCAACCGTGAAGCCACGCCCACCACAGGCCACGCCCATTGATTCGAGTGCGATTAGGCCCCGCCCCCTCAGGCCCCGCCCCCTCACCTGTTTCTTCATTTTCTTCTTCTCCTTTTTGCTGATTCGCGGATCCGGCCCCGCCCTCGGCCCCGCCCCTTCCTCCTGCTCCTGGGGAGGGACCCAAAAACATCCAAAATATCCAAAATATCCCAAAATATCCCAAAAACATCCCCAAAATATCCCAAAATATCCCAAAATATCCCCAAAAACTTCCCAAAATATCCCAAAATATCCCAAAAACAACCCAAAAAACATCCCAAAATATCCCAAAAACATCCCAAAATATCCCAAAAAATCCCAAAACTTCCAAAAAAACCCCGAAAATATCCTAAAATACCCCAAAATATTCCAAAATATCCCAAAACCCCCCAAAACATCCCAAAATTCCCCAAACTATCCTAAAATATCCTCAAAATAACCAAAAAAAGTATCCCAAAATATCCTTAAATACCCCAACAATCCCCAATATATCCCAAAATAGCCTAAAAATACCCTTAAATATTTCAAAACATTCCAAAAAACCCCAAAACATCCCAAAAATCCCCAAAATATCCCCAAAGTATCCTAAAATAGCCCCAAAATAACCATAAGACATCCCAAAATATCCTTAAATATCCCAAAAATCCCCAAAATATCCCAAATAGATCCCAAATAACCTCGAAATATCCAAAAATACCCCAAAATATCCCAAAAATCTCACAAAACACCCCAAAAGCTCTCAAAATCCCCAAAAATCCCCAAAAAATCCCTCCAAAGATCCCCCAAATATCCCAAAAATCCCCTGAATGTCCCAAAATATCCCCCAAATCCCCCAAAATATCTTAAAATATTTTAAAATTTAATATTTCACTTAGTACTTTATTTAATATTTTAAAATACCCCCCCCCCAAAAAAAAAGCCCAAAATATCCCCAAAAATCCCCTGAATATCCCAAAATATTCCAGAAACATCCCAAAATATCCCAAAATCCCCCCAAAATTCCCTCAGGGCCCCCTCCCAACCCCCACCCCAAACTCACGTTCTCGCTTCCCTTCCGGGCTCCTTCCTCATCCTCCTCTTCCTCCTCCTCCTCCTCCTCGTCGTCCCTCAGGGCTCCAAATTTGTTCTGTCCCAAAACGGGGCAAAATTCCCAAATTTTGGGGTTTTCCCCCCCAAAAAAAACCCCCCCCAAATTTCCCCTCCCCCACCTTTACCTTCCCCCCTTTGGGCTCCTCGGAGCCTTCGGCCTCGTCGTCGCTGCCGGATTTTCCCTGAGGATTTCGGGGTGGAAAATCGGGGGGAAAAAAAAAACAAACCCCAAAATTTGGGATTTTTGATTTTTCCTGGGAAATTTGGGAAAATCCCAAAAAAAAAAAAAAAAAAAAGGTGAAAACACCCCCGAAAAATTCCCCCCCCCCCAAAAAATTCCCCACCTGGCGCTTCCCTTTGGATTTGTCGTTCCTGCGGCTCTTCCTCTTCCTCCGCTCGGCCTCCTCTTCCTCCTGCCGGACATTCCCGGGAATTCCGCGTTTTTCCGGGGATTTTAGGGTTTTTCCCAGGATTTTGGGTTTTATTCCAGGGGTTTGGGGCAATTTCCTGGGATTTTGGGGTTTCTTACAGAAATTCTGGGTTTTTTTAAAAGAAATCTCGGATTTTTCCTGGGAATGTCGGGTATTTTTCCAGGGATTTGGGGGTTTTTTTTATAGGGATTTTGGGGTTTTTCCAGGAATTTTGGGTTTTTTGGAAAAAGTTTTGGGATTTTTACAGAAATTTTGGCGGTTTTTTAAGAGGATTTTGGATTTTTCCTCAAGATTCTGGGTTTTATTCCAGAGGTTTTGGTTTTTATTCCAGGAATTTTGGGTATTTTGGAAGAAATTTTGGGATTTTTACAGAAATTTTGTGGTTTTTTTAAAGGATTTTTGACTTTTCCTGAGGATTTTGGGTTTTATTCCAGGGACTTTGGGTATTATTCCAGATGGTTTGGGGTTTTTTTTTTATTCCAGGGGTTTGGGGATTTCTTTCCAGGGATTTTGGGGTTTTTTAAAAGAGATTTTGGATTTTTCCTGGGGATTTCAGTTTTTTTCCTGAGGGTTTTGGAGTTTTTCCCAGGATTTTGGGTTTTCTAAAAGGGATTTTGGGGTTTTCTTCAGGTTTTTGAGATTTTCCCAAAGAATTTGAGGTTTTCTTCCAGTGATTTGTAGGTTTTTTCCAGGGATTTTGGGTTTTTTTCCCAGGATTTTGGGTTTTATTTCCTGGGGTTTTGGGATTTTTCCAGCAATTTTGGGTTTTTTCCTGGGGATTTGGAGGTTTTTTTCCCCATATTTTGGTGTTTTTCCCCAAGATTTTGGGGTTCTTCCAGAAATTTTGGAATTTTTCCAAGGATTTAGGGTTTTTCTTCCCAGGAATTTTGGGATTTTTCCCCCCCTCAGGTGACCCCACCTTGGCAATTTTCCCCTTGGATGGTTTTTTTTCCTTCTCCTCCTCTTCCTCCTCCTCTTCCTCGCTCTGCTCCTGGCTCAGAGCAGCGAAAACGTTCCCACCCTGAGGGAAAAAACCGGGAAAAATCCCAAATTATTCCCTTTTCCCCCCAAATTCCAGGCGGCCCCAACTTCCAGCCCCAAAAGTCCCCATTTTCACTGAATTCCCCTCATTTTTTGGAGCATTTCCATTCCAAATTCCCATTTTTTTGGGCAAATTTTTCCTCATTTTTTGCCTTTTTCCCACTTTTTTAAGGCAAATTTTCCCCTCACTTTTTTTTTGCTTTTTTCCCACTTCTTATGATAAATTTTCCCCTCATTTTTTCCTTTTTTCCCCATTTTTTTGACAAATTTCCCCCTCACTTTATCCCCTTTTTCCCACTTTTTTGGGAACAGATTTCCTCCTAATTTTTTTTTTTTACATCCTTTCCACTTTTTTAGGGCAAATTTCCCCTCCATTTTTTGGAATTTTTACCCTTTTTTAGGGGTAGATTTCCCTCTCATTTTTTTCCCTTTTCCCCCTTTGTTTCATCAAATTTCTCCCTCATTTTTTTCCTCTTTTTCCCACTTTTTTTAAGCAAATTCCTCCCCCATTTTTTCCCTTTCTCCCCCTTTTTTTGGGGGCAGATTTCCTCTCATTTTTTTCCCTTTTCCCCCCTTTTTTTGGGGCAGAATCCCCCTTTTTCCCCCCCTCACCTTCCTCCTCCTCCCTCCTTTCCGGGCCGCTGGAGCTGTGGGTCAGATTTTGGGGGTCACCGAGGGGTCAGAGCCCCCCCGGGACCCCCCAGACTCCCAGCCCGGACCTTCCTCCTCCTCCTCCTCCTCCTCCTCGTCGGCCGCGGCCGCCAGGGCCTGGAGCCGCCGGCTCAGCTCCTCCTCCTCGGGCTCAGGCTCCGCCCCCCGCGCCCGCCGCGGCTCCTTCCGGCGCTCCCGCTTCCGCCGGGACCCCTGGGGGGGTTAAACACCCTTAATTAGCGCTAATTAACCCTTAATTAGCTCCTCGATTGCCTCCCCGCCCACTGAAACCAGGCTGGGTTTGGCTCCACCCACTCTGGTCATGGCGCTTTAAGACCCTCCCCTTTAGCCACGCCCATTTAACCCCTCCCCTTTTAACCCATTAAGCCCCACCTTTTAAGCCCCTCCCCCTTTAACCCCTCCCCTTTTAACACCACCCCTCTAAGCTCCTCCCACTCTGCCCCACCCCTTTAAGCTCCTCCCCTTTTCTCAGTTGGCTCCGCCCATTGAAACCCACCCTTTTAAGTGCCTCCCCTTTATCCTTTAGCCCCTCCCCCTTTAAGCCCCTCCCCATTTTTCTTTAGCTCCTCCCCTTTTAACCCCACCCCTTTAAGCCACTCCCCCTTTAGCCCCTCCCCTTTAAGCCCCTCCCATTTTAATCCCACCCCTTTAAGCC